GCAGCCAAACATTTTCTATAGAAGTAGAAGCCACATAGGATATGATATACTTTTGGTAGTATGGCCCCATATGTTCTCTGCTACATATTATTCCTCTTTTTTTTTCTTGTACAACTTTTTGAAAGTGTAAAAATTATGACAGTGCATGGTCTGGTACTTTTCTTCAGACTATTTTTTTTTTTTTTTTAATTTGAAAACACATTGGCAGGATCAACCAGGTAAAATGGAAATTCTTTTTCTTTTTTTCCTTTACTTTTTTTTGAGACGCGATTTCTCCATGTTAGGCTGGTCTCGAACTCCCCACCTCAGGTGATCCTCCCGCTTCGGCCCCCCGAAGTGCTGGGATTACAGGCATGAGCCACCGCACCCGGCCATGCAGACTATTCTTTAGGTGGCGCAGCTCTAGGAAGTCAGATAGACCCTGAGAAATAGCCATGTGTTCTGTTACAGAGAAGCTCAGACTGAGATGGCACACGGATGGGAGCCCACACACACACTTGTGTGTGAAACTGATGTTCTGGAGTCAAGTGCTTATTTAGGGAGTGATTCAAATTCAAATTCAAGGTGAGTTAGGTAAAACAGTAAGCTCTTTTGAATAAAAAGAGAGGAGTTTGTGTTGGGTGGGGTGGCTCCTGCCTGTAACACTAGCACCTTGAAAGGCCAAGGCAGGAAGATCTCTTCTGCCCAGGAGTTTGAGACTAGCTTGGCCAACATAATGAGACCCCGCCTTAATAAAAATTAAAAAAAATTGCCAGGCATGGTGGCTTATGCCTGTAATCCTAGCACTTCGGGAAGCTGAGGCAGGCAGATCAGAGGTCAGGAGTTCGAGACCAACCTTCCCAACATGGTGAAACCCCATCTGTACTAAAAATACAAATTTTAGCCTGGGGTGGTGGCGCGTGCCTGTAATCCCAGGTACTCAGGAGGCTGAGGCAGGAGAATCGCTTGAACCCAGGAGGCAGAGGTTGCAGTGAGCCAAGATCATGCCACTGTAATCCAGCCTGGGTGGCAGAGTGAGACTCCGTCTCAAAAAAAAAAAATTAATTTTTTTAAAAAGAAAGAGCGGTTTGACTTTAAATCTGTAGGCAGTGAGAGATCACTGTATGTTTTTGAGTTAGACAGTTATCAACATGACGAAAGCAGTGTTTTAGAAATACTAATTGGGGCAATGCATAGGGTTTTTTAGGTTGTTTGTCGTAGCATTCTTGGGCATTGGGTGGGTGGGTAGTGAGTGATGACACTGGAAATGTAGAGGGAGGCCATATCATGAAGCTAAGGAATTACAATTTTTTTTTTTTTTTTTAACATTAGAGCCTATCTTGACCCATTAAGATCAATGAAAATGATTTTAATCCAGGCATAGTGCAATAATGAGAACGTGGACTGGGCTGGCAGCCAGGTCTCTATTCATGTTGTTTAGTCAGGATTGGCTTAAATAATTAAATGGCTCCAAATGGTGATAAATGAATACTTCAGACCTGGGTATAGTTGAGTGTCTCGTCTCAGACTGGCTTGCATGTAAATAATAATGCATATCCATAAGTTGTATATTATATACATGATAGTGTTTGTATGGGGCTGATAATCTTTGCTTCGAGTATTCAAAAGGGTACCCTGGACAATCCTCTTTTTGTGCTTAGATCTATTATATAAAATACTATTTTATAACTAGATATTATCCCTTTGATTAACAGACTGCCTCCTAGACTAATTAAAATCTATAGACCTCAAGGTATGAACTAGATGAGGTAATTGAGTTATGATCCAGAAATTTGAATTTATGTGAAAATGTTTGAAATATGAGATTATATATGGCTTTTAGCAATATAATTTGGAGAAATTGCTCCATAACATGTATTCGAAAAACCAGCTCCTTACTCTTCATAGTAACCATTAAAGAAGTTTCCTGGAGTTCTCTTTTGCAGTCTGTGTGGTACCTAATACACTGGAGCCCACTGGCAGCAATGCTCAGACATGGCCTTCCCAGCTCCTCCAGCGGCCCCTCCTTCCAGTAGGCTCTCCATCCATCTTTCCTGGATTCGTGGGAGCTGTCATTTCCTACTCTTTCCTGGAGAGGGAACTTTCCATTCTCTTTCTCTTCTGAGTTTAAGAGTGTCTGGGCTGGTGCATTAAAGCCAACTTTTTCTGTGCACACCTGCTGAGTTTTTGTACTCAGCATAACAGCCAATTTGTTTAGAACAGTAGTTCTCAAAGCATGGTCTCCAGACCAGCAGCATCAACATTACCTGAGGACTTGTGAGTGATGCAAATTCCGGGTCTGCATGCCAGATCAACCAAATCAGAAGCTGTGGGGTTGGGGCTCAGCTATCTGTGTTTTAACAAGCCTTCCTGGTGATTTTTATGCTTGCTAGCTTGAACATTACTGAGCTAAAGGAGAGCTTCCTTTTGAGGGTTCCATCTTTGAACTTAAGATTTAGTCTTAAACCAGATCTCTGCATTTGTTGTAGCAAGCAATGCTTTATGAAAGCAATGCAATCATAAAAGAGTCGGTTACAAGCAATGTCAAAGAGAGACTGTGAAAGGTTGATTGGGTACAATAATGAGGGAATCTGCTCACTGGGAATTCCTACTCAAAGCTGTTTGGGGATACTTCCAACACAAGCTTTTGCATGCCATATGGGAATATTTTGCACATTGGAAAAGAATGCGCATCTGATAAGCAATAATGCGTTTACTTATCAACAAACACAATCTGTGGCTCCCAAGGCGCGTGCAGTCAGCTGTAGCTGGTCAGCCTTGCTGGTCTAGGGACACCAAGAGGAGGGGTGACTGTACCTGGATGGGCTGGCCTGGCAGGAAGCCCTGGACACCCCATTGGACCCATGTTGGTTTCAGTTTGCTAATGGCACTCCCCCTTGCCCTTCCTATGTCGTAGTGCTTTTGAGAACAGGCTGTTTAAAATGAGATATTGGCTGAATCCAAACGCAGGGAGAAAAAAATATCTCGCCTCTTTCTCCAAAAAATGTTATTGAGGCAGATTTTCCCAGGATCTAAGCTATTCTTTGGCTGCAAATGTACCTTTGGAAGATGCACAGTGGGGTCTCCAGGCACAGAAAGTAAACCAGCTGGGTATGCTTCTTCATACAACAGACAGATTTCTACCACTTGAAAATCATACTTTTGTAAATCAAATTACATTTTAAATTCAGCAGAGAAATTGCCATTTAAAGGGAATTACCCAGCAGATCTTTTGCCAAGAATGTAATTATTTCGTTTTTTATTTCTTCAAAAAATAAAAAAAGATTTCCATATGCGATAAAAGTTCAGTTAAGTAGAATTTTCAAGGAATTGGGGGATTCTTGTTATTCATCTCCTTCCTTCCCTCCCTCCCTCCCTTCTTTTCTTCCTTCCTTTTTATTCTTTCCTTCCTTTTCTCTCTTTCTTGACAAAGGCATAGCTGAAAAAAAAGTCCTGTTCCCAATGCATAAAATTGATTTTTAAAAGTAGTGGGCAGTGGAAATAATTACAATGCTCTTGATAATTAAAGATTTTGCAGCACATTGTATCAGCTGGATAGTGATAAGCAGAGATTAGGTTGAATTTGTGCTAAAGCTAAAAGGAGACACTGAAAATTTATAATTAGTGAAATATTAAATTAAACTCTTACTTTTAGTTCTTTTCAGTTAGTATTTTGCTTAAAAATTCAGCAGAGAAGAATATTGCTTTACTTAGAAACATTTGCTGGTTGGATCCTGCAAAGTTTAACTCCAACAGATTTACCTAATGAGAGTATATCTATATTTAGAAACACTAATAAATAGGAAGTGAACTGAGTTAAAACATTTTTAGATTTAACATGCAAGCATATTCTCACTACAAAAACAAACAAACGAAAAAAAACCCCAGCTCTTTAAGCCATATTGCCTTTGCTTTAACATTTTATTGTTGTTTAGATAAAAGGAGAAGTGGCTCACAAGCTGGCTCTGTTCAAACATGTGACTCAGGGCAGGCCTCTATGGATGTATGGGATGGGAAGGAAACAGAGGTTCAGAGACTAGTTCACTTACTTACACTGGGATCAATTTAAATTCAGCAAAGTTTATTATTATACATTTACGGTAACTATGAATCCCTAACTCTTGCTGCCACTGAAGATACAAAAATAAACAAGAGACAGTCTGAGAACTCACAGTCTAAGGTGGGAAAACTCCTCTGAGATAATTGGTGGGGTAGACATGTGTGATGTCTAATCAAGAGAGAGTTAGTTCAGGAATCCTCAAAGTTGTGTAGGTGGTAGAGGGTTTTGTTGATGATGTAGCAATGTAGATGGTAGAAGGTGTTGCTGATGCCACGAGGAACACTATGAGATGCTGATATATTTTATTTCACCACAAAAGTAGATCTTACAAAGGGAAAGTAGGACTACTTAAATATATACTGTACTGTAAAATTACAACTGTGAACACCCAGGTCAAAAAACAATTCCTCACTATTGAGCTAAACAGCATTGACTGTTTCTCCACTTTCCTGCTAATGTTAGTACACCGCTGGTTAATTCATTTGTCATCTGCCAGCATGTGTCACCAGGCAAGCAGTAACAGGGGCCAAAAGTCTAAGGAAAATGAAGACTTGAGAAAATTCTATTCATTAATTTAATTTAAAAACGTGATTTGGGAAATGATGATGTTTCCACAATTTCAATAACAGGTTAGTAACACCAAGGGTTCTGTCTGAAAAGTGTGGGAGCAGCTGGGGTGGAGAGGGAGCAAGCATTGATGTCCAGAAGGAATTATTGCCATTCCAGCCAAAGCTGAAAGCTCCTCCAGCAAACGCCCTCTCTGCTCTTTGGGGTGGGTCAGCGATAGAAGTTCCTACATGATAGGGAATGCACCTGCTTAGCTTTATACTAGCACATGCCATTAATATTGCTTTAGAAAGTGCTGCTCAGTGGCTAGGTGTGGTGGCTCACACCTGTAATCCCAGCACTTTGGGACGGCGAGGCAGGTGGATCACCTGAGGGTCAGGAGTTTGAGACCAACCTGGCCAACATGGTGAAACCCCCTCTCTACTGAAAAAACAAAAATCAGCTGGGCCTGGTGGGGCACTCTTATAGTCCCAGCTACTCAGGAGCTGAAACACAAGAATCGCTTGAGCCTGGGAGGTAGAAGCTGCAGTGAGCCGAGATCGCACCAATGCACTCCAGCCTGGGGGACAGAGCAAATCTCCATCTAAAAAAAAAAAGATTGAGAGAGAGAGAAAAGAGAAAGTAGCTGCTCAAGCTACAGATGGGAGCAGATTTCTCTCTAAAAACAATGTTATAATGACCATTAGGCTTGAATGAAATAGTGTTAAAATAATAACTAAAAAAATAAGAATGGGTTAAATAGGTTTGTGGGTTGATCTTGGAAGTTATTCCCCTATTTATGACATTATTTATATGAAGTAGTGCTCTTTTACTTTTACGAATTCAATTAGCAAATATTTCTTTCCAGGCTAACATGTGTCAAGCACTTTTTAGACACTCTGGGTTTCGGTTTCCTCTTCTGCTAAATAGGGATAAAGAGTGTTCTTAATTCAATAGGGTTGCTATGAAGATTAAATAACTTATAATACATCAACTGCTTTGATGGGTGCCTGACATATAGAAAGTGCTTAAATATTAGCTAGTCACTGTGAGTATTATTGTACACTGATATGACACAGATATGGTCCCCCCACACACAAATACAAACAACTTTCTAGAACACGGCCTGGGCCGTGTTGTTTGAGTTTCTTGGTGTTCTGGTCTTTAAGGGAGCAGCTGCTCTCCTGCAGTTGGGGCTGGAGTACTTGTTGAGCAGTTGGTATTTGTCAGTGTCGTTTGTCTGGTAAGCAGAGCCCTTGCCACTTTTTTCTGAGGCTGGAGGACAGCAGAGCAGCAGGGAAGTGTTTCTGGAAACTCTAACCAGTGGCTTTGCTTCCCGGGAATTTGCAACCCCAGCCCCCTGCGTGCTTACTTTAGGAGCTAGGGAAGGGCTGAGGCCCACAGATGTGAGGGCTGCTGGCCTGTGCTCCTATTGTCAGGGGTTCCTAGCTTTGTGAACAGGTGGGTCTCTTACCTCTTGGGCAAACCTAGCAAAGGCAAAGAATGATATAAAGACTTTCTGGCCCAATCCAGAGGAAGCAGGGAAGAGGAAACTTTTGACTTCTTTCCTTTTCAAAATATTCCAAAGTCTTGCAGTTAGCTTCTTCAGTTATGAAGTTCCAGATTTGTTAGATATCCTAAAGTAAATACACCATCTTCTGAAGCTGTCAGAGATTTGGGATGACATTTTTACATGCTTCCTGCTACTAAGCCCTGCATAGCTCAAATTAGTCTCAAGTGGATTGAAAGGCGAAAGAACTACACTTTCATGCTGTTGGAAATTTTGGTAAAATAAAGCTTATTAATGCCTAAGTAACAGCAGGGTATACAGCTCTGAAACAGTGACGAGGGTAAATAGGAGCTGTCCTTTGCACAACAAAATGGGGGACTGTTCTCCATAACTGATGTTTATGTCACCAATTGGAGGCCACTTTTATCTTATTTGTCATATGAAGGGCAAATATGAAAATAATGTGAGCCCCTCACCTGTCAGGGACCCTGTGCTCATTTTGGATGGGGTATTCCTAAATGCCCACTGATTGTCTTATCTCATGGTAGAATGATTTGAATTCATTCAACAACTTCTATATGTTTTCACTCTTCCCTAGTTTGCACTACCCATAAGAATGGCAAACAGGAAGTGTAGGGGGAAAAAGAGTATTTAACTTAGCTGCCGAGATCACGCTTTCTTTATTAGTTCTGTTTCAGTGTCAAACATCTCAAAAGACTATAGGACAAAAATAGAGAACCTTGATGCCTTGGTAGCAGCAGAGTATTCGCAGGGCTCTGGAGCAAGAGTCTTAGTAGAAAATGAAGGAGATGTGTGGGGCACACTCCAGTGGAATCTTACTTCCACTGCCTAGATTCAATGTTTAAGAAGAGCAGGTCAGCTGCCATGGTAAAGTGACCACTGGGCATATTTGGGAAGTGCTTGAACTCTGTAGGATACTTAACTGAGTAGATTAAGGAAGAAGTCCAATTACCTCTACTCAGGATTGATGACTTTCATTCAATGAAGAAAACTTTACCTGCTTTTAGTTGAAATGACAGAGTATGAGATTGAGAGCTTGTATTGTGCCATGGATTCACTGTGCATTTGGAATCGGTCTCATTCTAATCCTAGCTGTGCGACACTGGGGAAGTTGCTTAACCTTTCTGACCTTATTTTCCTCACTGTACAATGAGGAAATTATACATATATATACATGTATGATATATGTACATATTTATTTCCTCATTTTACAGGCAGCTTATATATGTATCACTTATATATATATTAGCATGTACATATGCAATGATATGTATATGATTATGTATATGTATAAATAAAATGATAAACATGTAAAGGGCTCATACCAGTGCATGGAACATTTCAAATACTCAGTAACTGTTGGTAATATTCTTTATAGTTTTACTGATATTTCAAAAATAAAAACAAACAAGAAACAGCAATTTTAAGAACAGAGAAGGAAGGAAATAAGTACATTTTTTCTCTAGTAAGTGGTAAAATTAAGATGACTAATAACATCACACATGGTAGTCACTTAAGATTTTGATTGGCATCCTTTAAGGAAAATGCCTGTTACTTTTACTTTCTTAAAATACAGTTTCATGCATCAAAGTTGTTTTATTTTCAAGAATCTAAGGAAATGAGAAAACTAGAAAGGAAATAGCATATGAGCATGACTGTATTATAAAACAAGTAGCAATCATGATGTGGGAATGTATTTACCCTCATATAGTTTTTGCAGATATATGAAGATTTTATGAATACAAAATAGAAAACCTAATATCCTTACTATTTAATTCTTTGACATAAAGAAAGATATTGTTATTTAAGCTATAATTTTCAATATTATATTTCTTTTTAAATGTTAAGGCTAGATAGCTAATAATGTTATAACATTTATTTTTTAACTCTAGCATTGGCAAAGTGCTTTTAAAACATTTTGAAGCACTTTTATGAGCTCCAGAATAAATGATCCCCAGAACAACCTTGTAAGGTAGTCAGAACAGGTATAGTACTATTTTTTACATTCTACAAGTGGCAAACAAGCTAACAAGGTTGAATGACACAGCAGGTGGGGGCTGGATTGACATTCAATAATCCTTATGTTTAGAACTTAAATTTGTTTGATGATTTGCTATTTAAATCAGATAGTTTTTTGATCCACCCAGCAATCTTTCATGGGGGACAGAATATTTTAATCTCCATTTTCTCTTTAATCTCAATCAGTGGCTCTTCCCACTAAGTCATAGTGCTTCAGTGTCAGTGTTATATATACATTATAGTTTGTTGAAAAATGATGTCTTAATCTTCAATTTGATTATGTGGTAACTGTATACTCCTCCTTCCTTCCTTCCTTCTTTCTTTCTTGCTTGCTTGCTTTCTTTCTTCTTGCTTTCCTTCTTTCTTTCTTGCTCTGTTGCTAAGCTCCAGTGCAGTGGCCCAATCTCAGCTCACTGAAACCTCTGCCTCCCAGGTTCAAGTGATTCTTGTGCCTCATCCTCCAAGTAGCTGGGATTACAGGTGCCTGACACCATGTCTAGTTAATTTTTTTGTATTTTTGGTAGAGATAGGGTTTCACCATGTTGGCCAGGCTAGTCTTGAACTGTTGACCTCCAGCTGTCCACCTGCCTCAGCCTCCCAAGTGCTGAGATGACAGGCATGAATCATCATGCCTGGCCAACTGTATACCATTTCTGTCAAATTGAACCCAGACCCCAAAAGTGTTAAATTTACTGACTAGTTGAGTAGGTACTATAAACTCCAAACCCAGTTTTGAGTGAAAACTGAAAATTTCAGTCATTCAGATATTTGTCAACAGTAGATGGTAGAGATATATTTATTTTAATTTTTATTTAAAGATATACTTTTATGTATATGTGACATGAGTGACAACAGTCTGGGAAATGTTTCAAAGTGCCCTATCATGCGTTCATTGGTTTTGGATGTTTTCATATGCTTCAGTTCCTTTTGAAGGAGCTTTCCTTTACTCTTCAGAGTCTGACCATGCTTGGGACTTGCTGTAGGACAAATCCATCTGCTAGACCTAGTAGGGTCCCAGCTGGTATGACTTTCATGGCTTCTTAGACAGGACCCATCCACAAATGTGTGGAAAATTGTGGTGGGAGAAAGAGTCCAAAATCAAGGCAGCAGCTTTCTTGTCTAAGACAGACTGAAGACAAACCCTTTAAAAAAATATTCCTGTAAGTTTGTAATTCAGAAATAAAGGGTAATAACCTCTTATATTTATGCTACTTTAGAAATGCTCTTCTCCCTTCCTACCCCCACCTGGACTAAATCAGTTGAGTTACTTAAGTGATGGAAATTAAACATTGTGGAAGCTGGAATAAACATTTAAAAGAGTTTGAGAGATCTTACTTAAAGCTTCCTCGACTCAAGGTAAATATGAAAACAGCTCTTCAGCCTTTGGTGACGTCTGACTTTCTATGAACACCTGTAACTTTAGGGCCTGTGACACTTACTTTGAGGCTGGTTATCTTCTATTGTGTCATTTCTGCACTTATATATTTTATGCACATGACTCACTTTCTGAATTATACAGAGGAATAGGACACATTTTATAGTTGTCTATCTTTTTGGGTTCTTACATATTTACCTGGTAATTATGCAGAAAAGATTCTTAATCCAATGGTTATTGCTGATAATTACAACTTGGAAGTCCTAATACTTACCACTCCACAAGGTGGGAATGAGGGTGGTATATCACATTCCTAAAAAGACATTTGTGATTTTTAGTACATTGACACATGAGTGTATAAACATGCTTGAGTTGAAAAAGAGGAATCAGAAATTATTTTAAAAAATCAATTCAAGTTAAATATCAAAGAGTTATATCATTCCCCAGCTTGAGAGTTCCAGTGAGATTCATCAATAACATACATCCCAAACTGAGTTCAATTATGAGAGATAGTTGACTTTTTTTTCTTTGTTGTTAGTTCACTACATTTTGGCCAAATACTTAGAATAAGAAACTTTGTTGGGA